GGCAGTCTGTGGTGGAGGAAAACAGTGTATCAGGTGAGCAAAAGGGAGAGATGACCCTGGTCTCCTCCAGTTCTGTTTCCAAGTTTTCCACATCTCTGGATGCTGAGCGGTCAAAAAGATACTATGAATGGCAGCTGCTCCGTTCCCCCATCAGCGAGGCACCTGATGGCAGACACATGCCAACAGCAGGAAAAATGCCTCCTCACCGGTGTCACTGTCCACCCCACTACTGCCTGAAATACCCAGACAAAGGCTCATGGAGCCATCACAAAAAGCAGCAGCATGGAAAGGACACTTTAATTTTGGTAGCTTTGGTATGTGAAATGAGATGGGCATACAATTGCTACCTTCTCCGTCTGGCTGGTTTTGGATTTTGACTCCCACATTTAGACGAATTCACTTGACCTCCAAAACCCAGCGGAGCCACATTTTCCTCCATGAAGGCTACCCAGAGTCTTCCTGGCTGAAATTAGCTATGCTTCCTCAGAACACCTTTATAGTAGCTTTCTCACTCTGCTCCTACTGTAGTCCTTTGTGGTCACGACTTCTGCCCCTTAGAATATAAAATCTTAAATCAGGATTCAGGAATGCCATGTTAAAGGTAAGGAGGATGAGCTATTTCCCTCTACAATCTAACCAATTGGTTAAAACGATCAGACCAGCACACTGAGGAAAGGATTTGGATGTAATAGTTTTCATCTGATAGTTACTCATTTGCACATTAGGTGGGCATGTGTAGGTGTCTGCTGGTTGTCTGCTGTGTGTTGAGCATTGACTTGGATTTTAGGGGAGAGGTAATGTGAATAGAAGCTGGACAACCCATTTCCCTTCCAAAACTCAGAGTCTAATAACGCAGACTCCCTTCCACTGATCCTCAACATCAACTCAGAGGTCGAATTAGGAATCAGGACATGCCTGGTCATTCAAAAGAGGTAATACTGCTACTGGTCACCTGGGGAAAAGGTATACAATTTCTATTTTATGCCACTTGACTTGGAAATTCAAACATATGTGAGGATATCCAGGCCTTATTCAAATGTCTTGAGATAAGTAGGGACAGATTTCATAAGGTGTTACTATGCCCATCATGGAGATTTTGGGGAAAAAATAGAAAGTAAAAGGAAGAGCATGAAATATGATGTACACATCTTATGATAGACATGAACACAGACCCTGCAGCCAGCTTGCCCAGGTCTGCATTCCAGCTTGCAAATTTATTTGCTGTGTGACTTTGGGTGGTCGTTAAACTCTCTCACACTAAATTAAAATCCAAAAGGATGAAGATCTAAATATTAAAACAAAAACATTAAACTTGCTGGAAGATAAGTTAGGCAGAACTCTTGACGTTGGCCTAGAAAAAGATTATATGAACAAATCCTCAGTAGCACGGAAACTAGCAAAAAAATCAATAACTCGGATCTCATCTTATTAAAAAGCTTCTGCACTGCAAAAGAAACCATCAACAGAACTGAGACAACCTACAATGTGGGAAAACATTTTTGCCAGCTGCTCCTCAGACAAAGGACTATTATCTAGAATATATAAAGAACTCAAAACAATCCCCCCCAAATATAAAGACCCAATTCAAAAATGGGCATCCGAAATGAAGACATTTCTCAGACAAAGAAGTAAAAGCAGCAAGTAAATATATGAAAAAATGTTCCACATCACTGGTCATTCGAGAGATGCACATGAAAACAACACTGAGATTTCACCTCACCCCACAAAGAATGGCTGCTATCAAGAAATCAAACAATAACAAATGTTGGTGGATTGTGGGGAGAAAGGAACCTTTCTCTATTGTTGGTGGGAGTGCAGACTGGTGCAACCACTATGGAAATCAATATGGAGATACCTCAAAGAGCTGGGACTAGAGGTTTCATTTGACTCAGCCATCCCTCTGCTGGGTATCTTTCCAAAAAAATTTAAAAAATCATACCACAGTGATATATGTGCACCCATGTTTATAGAAGCACAGCTAAAACATGGAAACAGCACATTTGCCCATCAGTTGGAAACTGGATAAAGAAGATGTGGTTCTTCTATAAAATGGAATATTACTCAGCCATAAAGAATGAGAAATTAGATTCATTCATATGAAAATGGATACATATTCAGGATATACTCCTAAGTGAAATAAATAAGTCACACATGTGTAAATACCAAATAGTTTCTGTGGTATGAATAAACTGTAATAGTACATAAGATGTAATGAGATAACTGACATTGTGAAATGGGAAGAAAAGGGCTAAAGGTGTAGGGAAAGTGGGAAGGGTAGGGGAAGGGTAATAAGGGAAAAGAAAAAAATGTGAGAAAATGAAAAAATGGAAATAAAGTGTTTAGAAATGGGGAGGGGAGGAGGGGGTGAAGAGAGGGCAGGGACAAGGGTAAAAAATGAGAACCAACACCTGTCATGTAGAGGTACAAGATCCCAATAATGAATGTAACTGTACTGTATATATATAAAATGTACCAATAAACTCAATTGAAAAAAACTCTCTCAGTCTCATTTTCTTCATTTGTGAAAGGGAACAAAAATATCTTTCTTACACAATTGTGATGATGAGTAATAAAAGTGTAGCTCAGAACTCAGAAGAGTCTGTTTCATTTTTCTGTTGTCTGGGCTGAGAGTAGTTTATGACTGGGAATGTACAATCTCACATGTACGACTAATGTCAGTCCCTTGCTGAAGGGACACAAACCAACCTCTTAGCACCACAGATAAATAAACATCTCTGAGAGTCCTGACTGCCAACCTGGGGAGTAAAGGAGCTTATAGACCCCTATGGACCCAACCGAAGGCTTCCCATTTAATGGCAACATTCATAACTAACCAGGCAGTGTAAGATATGCTCATTCTGTATGCTCTATTGAAGAAAAAGTATGTAATTACTTCAAGATGTTGGTCTAGACACTCATCCTCCTGCAATGTCCAAACACCTGTAGAATGAAGCAAGTCTTCCTTTGTTTGGCTTTAGTTCTGCCCCCCATCTTCCTACCTAAGTTTCAAACAGCTTCTAGTCTCTGGTCCACAAACTTGGGATATCAATTTTCAAGGGTCTGGGTAAAGGATCTCCTATACTGCTGGTGACAAGGTCAATCAGTACAGCTCCAGGCAATATGGACTAGAGGTGAAAATGCACATTCCTCCTAATCAAACCAAAACAAGACTCCTGCACCCAGAGGAATTTTCTTTGGAGAGTAATGTACATACCAAGAACATTTAGGGCTAGGGATTTAGCTCAGCAGTTTGGTGGCCTGCCTTGCAAGTGCAAAGACCCAAGTTCAATCCCCAGTACCAAAAACAAAACAAAACAAAACAAACACAAAAACAAAACAAAACAAGAACATTTATTGTGCCTTGTGTGGAATAGAGAAAAAACTAAAAAATAACTGACATGCCTAATAATAAGGAAATGGCTAACTGGTATATCAATGCTCTAGAGTTCACTACAGCATTTAAACCATGAGCTATATGCACATGCACTGACTGATAAGAGGTTATATAATAATATTTATAGGCTGAATTTTGTGATCCCCACTGCCTGCTAAATTCCTACATTGAGGTTGTAACTCCTACGCCCTCAGACTGTGACTGTATTTGAAGTGTCTTTAACAGGTAATTACAGTTAAAGGAGCTATGGGCTGTAATCCAACATAATTGGTGTCCTCCTATGAAGAGACGATTCGGACACAGAAAGGCATACACAGAAGGAAGACCATGTGAAGACACAGGAAGCAGATGGCCACCTATAAGTCAAGACCTCAGAGAAACCAGACATACTGACAACTTGACCTTGAACTTCACAGCCTCCAGAACTATGAGAAAATAACTTTTTGTTGTTTAAGCCTCCAAGTCTGTAGTACTTTGTTGTAGCAGTCTGAGCAGACTAACACCCACCAGCAGAGGCTTCCTGGGGGTATGTACAGATGCGTGTCAGGAACACATAAAAGAATGGAAGGGCTGACACAGGCTTGCAACAATGCTCCTTTGGGGAGAGATTAAGATCAGGATTGTGGATAGTGGCTGAAAGTGATTTCAGTCTTAAAATAAATTTTGAGGTACAAATCTCCAATGATTGAATGCCATTATATTACATACCTAAAATGTACCAATAAAATTAATAAAAATTTTCAGTAAAAAAAATTTTTTTTATCTTTACAGTGAGCAAAGTAACCATCCAGTTGGGGGTAATGCTCAGTGTGAGAGCTTTTGCTTAGCATGCCCAAGACCTGAGGCTGAATCTCCAGTGCTTCAAAATAAAAATAAAAATGTAACCCTCTTCCATGGCACTCTCCTGAACACAGGGTGCAACCTACTTTGACACTTGGATCCAACCTTTTTGGGCTTCTTGTCAGTGCCTCTCCCCGACTCTCACACCGCAGTTTGCCACACCACACCATCCTGTCTCTGTAAGGCCTCCATGCCTGCCTCTGTCAGTCCCCTCTGCTCGGCACACCTATTCCCTTTTTTACACCAATGTGGCTGATCTTTCTCTTTCACACTCCAGCTTGAATTCCAGTCACTTTACTCTAATGACCAGAAAAGTCTTCCTGATTTTCTAGAAGAGCATCTCGTTTTTATTTCCAAAATTTTTCCATACTGCTGTTTCTGGATCAAAATCAGAGCTGCAGCCAACTAAATGTTCATTTGGTTCCAAATGAATGAATGAACAGTAGTAATGTTTCCTAGCATGTTCTTTAGCCATTTAGTGTACCTCTAAGGCCACCTGTAAGTATAGACTTCTGAGAGGCCAGAGCTATAGTTAGGACAGGAGAGAGCCCCTAGCCTTTAGCTATTCCTGTAATATAACATAACAACTATATTTCTGGATCAGCTAAGCCCCATCATTTCAATTCTCGTGAAGTCAGCCATAAATGTATTGCAATTTATTTTGTTCTATACTTCAGGGAGTTTTTCGTTACTTAATCTGCAATAGGTATAAATAACAAACATCCATTGATCTCTGACTAGGAGGCTCTGATAATGCTGGCCTTACCTTTTCATCGGCTTGGGTGAGCATTCCCTCTCCAAGTTGGAGGATGTATGTTTCACATGCATTGCATTATAGGAAGTATGAGTGTAGTCATTTTCATCACTGTAGTCAGGACCGAGTAACGTCCGGGCCCATGTTCCCATGTCATAAGGAGGAAGGGTTCCTCCAAATTCAGAGGGCAAAAATTCAGGGTGTATTAGTTGGTGAAGGCTATTTAAATTATTTCCATGCAGGAAAATCTGGAAATAAAAAATAATTACTAATAACAAATCTGAAACATGATCAAGTATTTAAACTAATACACAATTTAGCAATGACAAATTGGTTGCGCTGCTGGTGATCATAGTGTTTAAAGAGGCGTTCATTTTGTGCCTGTAGTTTAGTCATCATAAAATGTTAATTTGTTGCTCAGAAAAGGGGCTGAATTAATTGTAGTTTAAAATGAGTTTTATGAACAGATTGGCTATTATTTGGCCATGGCTACAATTTATACCTACAGTCATTTTCCAATTATCCCTTCTGATGACAAGAGCTAGGCTATGCACCACTCCAATCCCTGATGAGGCCAGACTGCTCCATCCTCTCTGCTGAGCACTCTGGCCCTTGGTGCCTCCTTCAGTCTTCTCACCATGGAGCAAAATACAGCTTCTCTCCAAATCTGCTGTAGGGAAGCCTGCCTTTTCTGGTTCTCCCTGCCCACCTGCCAATGAACTCTTTAGCATCTACTGACTTCTAAGTTTTTGTCCCCGAAGTGTTCATTTATGTCTTGCTTCCCTACAGGAGAGAACATGTGCAGAATGAGATGGTGTTGTCTTATTCCTTTACCATATTCCATTCTTAGTGGTATTGAAAAATTATTGTTTGAGAATGCATTGTGAGATATTTGGCGCAGGAATTTTCCATCTCTGTCTACATTTGGGGCTTTTAACTGAATAAGTTTGAATCTTCTGAACATATAATGTGTAATGATAGGAATTGGTCTAACAAGGGAGAAAAATCAAATTACAGTTATTTTCAGATAAGCCCACAAAATGGACATACCAGAGGTAGGTTATTACCATTCACCCCAATTTAGAAATTGATTCTGAAAGTTGATTTAAACTACATCTATCTACTTGCAAGCGCAAGGACCTGAGTTCAATCCCCAGTACAAAAACAAAAACAAAAACAAAAACAAAAAAAAACAGTAAACAGAAAACTACATCTACCTAATCAAATCAGTTTCTGCCCAGAGAACAAGGAGCATGACAGTTGAATTCACGAATGAACTACACGTAAGTTATGCATAATTAATTATATGTAACAGATAAATTGCACTGATGTATAAGCCTATCAGTTATACAGACATGCACATGCATGTACACACATCACAGTGAATCATGATAAAATTTTAATATTATTTTTAAAATACTTAAATAATAGGACCTTGGTAAAACAATTGCTATCTTTTTCTTCTGTATTCATTTTAACTTATTATGTAATGGTGTATTTCAAAGATAAAGGCAAAAAGAAGCCAAGTGCTAAATTCTTCAGAACTCTGTAGTGCTTCAGAAAATAATATACATTTTCTGATATTGCAGATGGGTAGGATTAAACTTTAACAAAAATTATTTCTTTTTTTAAAAATTCAACTATCCTGGCTTTCACAAAATTCCTAGAGGGTGCTGTGGAATTTGAAGCATGCTAAAGTTAAATAGTCTCTTTAGTGTTCTAACTAAACATTTCTCCCCAGGCACCCAGTACTGTGTGTCTAGTTCTTAAGGAACTGAGAGTTCTGCTGAAGAGGGCCCTCTATTCTGGATATCTTGTGAGATGAAGTACACAGAGGTAGAGGGCTGGACCCTGCACCTGTCACAAGCTGTCCTAGATGCAAAGCTCCAGAAGCTCCTTTCTCTGACCAAGTACCAAGTATGCACTGTAGGAGGAATGAAGGCACTGAGAAGGCCATCTTACAACAGTGTAGTCCTTGGCACTCTTCTGAGCTCAGACTGATTGTAAATTGTCTGGGGCTATCTCTGCCTCCTCGTGCTGGTGAGTTCTAGTCCTTACCTCTATGCTTGTTTAATGATAAGGGAGCTATCTTTCTCTAAACCCCTAGAAGAAGCATGCATTCCAAGGTCTAAAAATTAAGAATCCTACAAAGCGTGTGTGTGTGTGTGTGTGTGTGTGTGTGTGTGTATTCTCAAATCATGGTCCCCTCTAATGTACAGAGGCATCCCTAGGGCTGAGTCTCCCAGATATCTATATATGAAAGGTATGAGAATGACTCCAGCTAGGCTCCCTCAGAGAGGGATGCTCCTGACCCAGGAGGCAGCCAAAATCAGAACACCCCAAAGAAAATATTGTAGCATTTCACAATAGGCAAGATAGGAAAACCCCAAGTGCCTACCCACAGATGAATAGATACAGACATGTACATCTATACTCCCACATGGAATAGATTAGCTTTTAAAATGAGGTTCGTGAGTTCAAGACCAGCCTGGGCCACATAGTGAGTTCCAGGCCAGTCTCAACTACATAGTGAGACCCTGTCTCATAAAACCAAAATAAATAAATAAATAAAAAAATAAAAATGAGGTCCTGACATTTTTGATAATATCAGTAAATTTGGAAAACATTATGTTAGGTGAATTAAAACAGGTACCAAAAGACAATGCATAAACGCACTTATATGGAGAGTCTAAAAAGCAATAGAACAATCAGAAGCAGAAAGCAAAAGGATGGGTATCAGGGAACAGGTGTGGAGTGGAGCTGGGGAAGATGGTGGTGAAGGAGAATAGGAGTTTGGTCACTCAAGACGAATAAGTTCTGGAGAGCTATTATACAGCACAGTGACTATCAATAATTCCACATTATACATTTGAAATTCACTAATAGAGTTCATAAGTGCTTTCACCACACTAAAAGAAAAAGAGAAAATTTTAAAGTCATAACTATGTGCGGTAATGGATGTGTTAACTGGCTTGTAGTGACCATTTTAGTATATTTATATGTTAAATCATCACACCACACACCTATACACAGTTTTTATTTTTCAAGGTGTAACTAGAAAATAAAAAAAAAGAGATAAATGGTAAAAAGAAATAGGAGTCACAGAGTCTCTGGTATACAAGTAGAATGAGGCTACATGCTTTCAGAAGCTGCCTCATCAAATTATCCCAATAGCTCTGTGGCACAGGTGTTAGTTTCCCCATCTTATAAATGAGGAAGCTGAGATTCAGAGTAGTTAAGGAATGCTTAGCTACTCAGTTAATCATAATGTCCTAAAAGCCCAACTCTGATAAAAGAAATTAGCTTCCCAAATTTCAACCATATAACTAACATTTTAAAATACTATAAGAACATGATTATTAGCCTTAGAGGTGCTGGAGCTGGCAGTTCCAACCCAAGTGCCATGAGAGAGTATTAAAGAAAGATAAACATTCTCTAAGTAACACAACATTTATGGAACAAATTTTAGCACTAAAACATTCTAGGAACAGAAGTGACTTGGCCCATATCTCTTATAAGCCTTTATATTAAAATGGGCATCTGGTATAGCATGCCTTTGATTTCTTATGTTTATTAATGGGATTCTGAAAATAACCCAGTTCTGCTGAATTATTGATTAAATACAGGCCATTTGCAAACTCCAGCTGAGGCTCAAATACTCATGGGTTACAGAAGACATACAGGAAAAGACTGGGTTGAGGCTGAGAAGGACATACCATAATTGTTCCTGATAATCCCTATTTGGAATTTATATATTAGTTTTCCTTACCCTTTTCCTGGTCTTGTCTTTAAGGAATGGCTTGATGAGCGTATACAGAGCATGAATGTACCAGGGCTGGTTGACAAAATGGACTCCTCCAAAGCGGGCAGGAAAGCTGTCCTAGGAAGGAAACAGAGAAAGGCACATCAGTGAATGAACATAAAGGTTAGATTGGATCAGAAGATCACACTCCTGTTTCTTGCTGGTTGATAATTTAGTTTCCTGGTTGAGAAAGAATGATAACACATTCAACTTCCTAGCTGTTATAATTTCCTCGTGCCTCTCTCCACTTTGACTCCACAACGTGAAAACTATGCATAGTGTCAGAACAGTCTTTTGGCTGGATGGAGAAGGGAGTCTGAGTTCTTCACAGCATTTAGTCAACCCTGGCCTCAATTCCAACAGGCTCTAAATTCTAATCTCTCTCTCTCTCTTCTCTCAGGTTCTCTTCTTCTCCTCCCACCTTCTAATGATGTTGCATTATCGTGACAACAGCTGAACTTTATGGATAAATGGTTGTATAGGAAAGGGTTGCAAAATAATTTCAAATGATCTTAGGAGGCAAGCTTTCTGAATTGACCAACGTCTACAAAGGTTTGCAAACTCTTTACAGTGTCTGCTGCTATTGTTTCACTCTATTCTAGGAACACACAGCAGGTCCCAGAGAAAACATACGGTTAATTGAGGGAATAATGGATTCCCCTAATTGAGCCATGTGAGCATCGTTTTCTTCAGATCAACAAGGGGATATCAAGAAATATGACATTTAAAAATGCTTTTGATTTTGGATTCCAGATAAGCACATGTGGTTCTGAGAGGCTGTGGACTGCTTCTGGTGCAAATTAGATCCATGGGACAAAGACCCTGGCCATAAAGTCCCCAATTAGTCCTGAAAGACCAGGAATCCTGATGAATGACTTCAGCAAATTGGGTTCATCTTGGCTAATGGAATTGAAAGAGAAGTAACATGGGAATACTATTTTTCGCCATTAAATTTATTGGTATATTTAAACAAACAATACAGTTACATTTATCATTGGAAACTTGTACCTTTACATGATATGTCTTGGTTCTTATTTTTCCCCCTACCCCTGCCCTCCCTTCACCCCCTTCACCCTTCCCTATTTACAAAGACTTTATTTCTATTTTTTTCCTTTTTTTTCACATTTTTTCTTTTCCTTTATTTCCTTTCCCCTCCCTTTCCCACTTCTCCTTTAGTCATTATCTTCCTATTTCATACTATCAATTAAACCATTTGAACCTTATTTACACTTTCAGTTTTTCACACCAGAGAAACTATTCAGTATTTACTTAAGTGTGTCTTATTTATTTCACTTAAGAGTATAGCCTCAATGTGCATCCATTTAGCTGTAAATGTCTCTAATTTCTCATTCTTTATGGCTGAGTAGTATTCCATTCTATAAAAAAAAATCTTCTTTATCCAGTCTCCAGGTGATGGGCAAATAGGCTGTTTCCAAGTTTTAGCTATTACAAACTGTGCCACTATAAACATGGGTAAGCATATATCACTGTGATACGATTCTTTTGGAAAGATACCCAGCAGAGGGATGGCTGGGTCAAATGGGACCTCTAACCCTAGTTCTTTAAGGTATCTCTATATTGATTTCCACTGTGGCTGCACCAGTCTGCACTCCCACCAACAATGGAGAAGGATTCCTTTCTCCCCACAGCCCTGTCCAAATCAGTTATTGGTAGTAGTCACCATTCTTTATGGAGTGAGGTTGAATCTCAGTATTTTCATCTGCATCTTTTGAATGACCAGTGATGCTGAACATTTTTTTCATATATTTATTTGCTGTTTTTACTTCTTTGTCTGAGAAATGTCAGTTTATTTCAGATGCCCATTTTTGAATTGGGTCTTTCTATTTGGGGGATCTGATGTTTTTGAGCTCTTTATATGTTCTAGATAGTAGTCCTTTGCCTAAAGAACAGCTGGTAAAAATTCTTACCACATTCTAGGTTGTCTTTTAGCTCTGTTGGTGGTTTCTCTTGCAGTTCAGAAGCTTTTTAATAAGATGAGGTCCCAGTTGTTGATTCTTTGAGCTAGTTCCTGTGTTACTAAGGATTTATTCATAGTCTTTTCCTATGCGAACGTCTTCAACAGTTCTGCCTAACTTATCTTCCAGCAAGTTTAATGTTTCTGTTTTAATATTTAGATCTTTAATCCACTTAGATTTTAGTTTATGGCATGGTGGAAGATAGGGATCTAGTTTTAATCTTTAGCAAGTTGAAAGCCAGTTTTTCCAACACCATTTACTAAAGAGGCTATTTCTCATCCAATGAGGATGTTTGGCTCCTTTGTCAAAGATGAGGTAGCTGAGTATGTCTAGTATTGTTTGTGCATCTTCTAATCTATTCCAATGATTCTCAGGTCTTGTTTCTTTGCCAGTACCATGCTGTTATTATCACAGAGGCTTTGTAGCATAGTTTCAAGTTGGGGATTGTGATACCCCTGTCATGTCTCTGTTTCCTAAATGGCTTTTGCTATTCTAGGTCTCTTCTGGTTCCAAATGAATTTTTGGAATGTTTTCTCAAGTTCTGTGAAATATACTGTTGGGATTTCAACCGGGATTGCATTGAATCTCTATAGCAGTTTTGGAAGTATGGCCATTTTCACTATGTTGATTCTTCCTACCCAGGAGCAAGAGATGTCTTTTCATTTTCTTATATCCTCTTTGGTCTCTTCTTTCAAAAGAGAGTAGTTGTCAGTGCAGAGATCTTTTGTCTTCTTCATTAGATTGATTCCTAGATATTCACCTGGATGTTATTGTGAAAGGAATTGTTTCCCTAATTTCTCTCTCAGTTAGTCAATTATTTGTGTACAAGAAGGCTATTGATTTTTGAGTGTTGACCTTGTGGAAATAGTATTTGAATTGCCAAGTTTGCTGTCAATCAGTTTGATTGCAAAAATACCTTTGTAAAATGTTGGCAAGGTGAGATGAAACCAGAGAGAGCTAACAGTTTAGTTAGCAAGCTACTCACTGTGGATGTATGAAGTGCTTGTCCTGGAACATTTTTAGTAGCAAGAAAAGGGAATTATTAGCTTTTCTTCAGAACTATGAGTCTACAGATGTCTAGGAATTTTCCACACAGACACTTGGTTTCTAACATAAGTACATGAAATTATGATTAAAGATTGACATTTAAAACATTTTAAAAATAATTTTGGCTCTATCTAGACATTTTATAAAGTAGAAAATAATTAAATGTCTTGAAGGCTACACTAGACAATTTTAAGAAAATATCCTTGTTTTTCAGGGTATGTATTTTTTCTTAATTTACTTATTTAAAAAATTTATTGGAACCATCAAGTATAGTGGTAGAGAAATTGTTTATACTAATTTGTACACTACTCATGATATATCACTATTCCAAATATTATTTTAGAAGTATAAAAGTTCTTAATAATGTTGTCTTTTATACATACATTTCAGGCTCTAAAAATGTCTTTGTTTTCATACAAAAAGAGACCATGTCTCAAACCCTCAATTAAAAGATACAGACTGAAAAAATGGATTAAGAAACGAAACCAAAGATATGCAGCACAGAAGAAACACATTTAATTCAAAAAGTTTACAGATTAAAAATCAAAGGATGGAAAACATTTACCATGCAACTAGAAAGTGGGAAAAAAAAAGAGTAACTATCCTAAAGTGAATTTCAAGATAAAACTAATCACAAAAGACAAAGAAGAATGTGTGTGCGTGTGTGTGTGTGTGTGTGCATGCGCGTGCATTTATTTATTCATTCATTTATGGGAAATATTTAACAAAAAGATGTAACAACTACAAATGTTTGTACACCAAACCCCTACACACCCAACTTCATAAAACAAACACTACACGACATGAAAATTCAGATAAGGTTAAACAAAAACTATCAAAGTTGAACTAAACCTTTGAACAAATGGACTTTATAGATATCTACAGTGTTCCACCCAACAATGGAACATACACTTTCTCAGTATCACATGGAACTTTCTAAAAATAGACCACAATAGACCATTAAAGCATGATTAAATATATGCAAAAGAATCAAAATTATCCCATGAATAATATCAGACCACAGCACAATAAATCTAGAAATCAATGGCAAAAGAAACCACAGAAATTATGCAAACATGAAAATTAAACAATACCCTCTTGAATAATCAATGGGTCTCAGAAGAAATTAAGGAAGAAATTAAACAATTCATAGAATTAAATTATAATGCCAATGCAACAAACCAGACACCATGGGACACTCCATTCCAAAGAGAGAAGTTTATAGTTGTGAATGCTCACATCAGAAAAACAGTAAGCTTACATAACCTTTTGATATGCCCCAAGGTCATAGGAAAACAAGAACAGTTTAAACCCAAAAGTAGCACGCGGAAGGAAATTATGAAGAATAGAACAGAAATAAATGAATTAGAAACTTAAAAAATGCAAAGAATCAATGAATTGAAGAGCTCAGTCTTTGAAAGATTAAACAAAATAAATAAGCCCTCAACCAATCTTACCAAAACAAGGAAAGAAAAGACCCAAATGCATTAAACTAAAAATGGGCAAGGCAAAAATCACAAAACATTCTGCCAATACCCATAGATCATGAGTAATTTCTTTGAGAATCTATACTCAAGTAAAATGAAAAATTCAGAAGAAACAGATAGGTGTTTCAGTGGCACAATTAGTGCCTGGTACTTATTCAGAAGAAATACATAGATTCCTAGATACATGTGAGCTACCAAAGCTGAACCAAGAAGATATAAAAATCCTTAATAAGCCAATATCAGTCAATGAAATTGAAGAAGTAATTTAAAAACTGCAAAGCAAGAAAGGCCCACATCCAGAGAGACTGAGTTCTGAATTCTACAAGAACTTTAGAAAATCTCTAACATCAGCATTTATGATTGCTTCATTCTTTTCTTCTCCTAGTATTGTATGCCTTTTAGTTTAAAACACATCATTCTCTCCACTGGTCCTATGAGATGTGAGCAGGAGGCTATGGATCTCCAACAAGGTAAGGGGCCTGGAGGGGCCACCTCAGACTTTCTTTTGCTCTAATGAAGGAGGAGGGCCAGAGATTTAGCTCTGCAGTTCTGTTGCCTGCCTTGCAAG